AGATCAAATTTCATTGTTCAAAAATGCAGCCTGTTCTTATTTTTTTTCTGCATCCGGAACGCACTGGAACTGCAAGCACTGATGTGAACTAGGACACTGACAACTATATAACCTACTTTCTGTGCATTTTGGATGCAGAAAAAAAAAACACATGTAGTGTAAATTGGCCCTGAAGAAAAAGGTGAAAAAATGAACTGGAATGTGTCACAAACGCAGCAGAATGCGTCACAAATGCGCATGCAAAAATGCATCTGAACTGCATTTCTATAGTATGGACTGGCTTTATACTGCTTTATATAACATGCTTAATGCTTTGGCTTTGGAGGGTTTTGTAGAATGTGCTAAAGCTAAAGTGACACTTAGATTTGCTGCTAAATGACATTTTTCCTGCCAGCTGGGGATTCCCCTCAATGTCCATGTTATACCCTTACCCTAGGTCAGGGGTAGGCAACCTGCAGCTCTCTAGCTGTTGTGGAACTACATTTCCCATGAGGCATTGCAACATTACAAAACTGTCAGTTACAGCTATGACTTGCAGAAGCATGATGGAACTTGTAGTCCTGCAACAGCTGGAGAGCCACAGGTAGGCTACCCCTGCCCTAGAGGAGGGTCTGATATGGATTTTAGGTGCATGGGCCACCCAAATTCCATACTAAACTCATATTGGAGAATGCAGCCAGGCCTTCCAGGAAAGGAAGAGGCAGTAAGAGTGTGCCCTGCCCCCAAACCATACAAGGCCACATGCCCTCAACATTGGAACGGTACCTTGCCAGGGGCACATGTCCTCATGTTGATGTGAACAAGGGACTTTCCCCCACCTCTCTGACCCAGTTGATGTTAGTGTCTGTGGGGAAGAGGTTGGGGAGGGAGGGGCCTTATCAGAATCTGCAAGCCCCCTTTAAAGCAAGGGGTCCTCCAGATATCAGGCTTCTCCCACATGCAGAAGGGCTCATAGTACCCCTGGCTATTCATTTGCAAAAAAAAATATCATAAACGCACACACACGCCATAGATAAAGTCCTTTAAAAAAGAAATGTCTCACAATGTCCACAAATGATGTCCTATAAATTGAATGCCCCATGGTGATCCTCTCCTGTAGATACTCTGGGGTGCTGGCTGATGTCATTGCCCAAATTTGGACATGCCCATATTTGGTCAATAATGTCAGCCAGTCCTCCGACTGAATTGTTTACATTCAGCAGTCAGCTGGGGTGCTAGCTGACTTCATTGCCCAAATATGGACATTACCATATTTGGTCAAATATGTCACCCAGAATGCCCGCTTGTTTACAATCTGAAAGTAGCTGAAAGGTAGTGGGATTGTTGGTTGCTGGATTCTGGTGGCCACCTGCATCCTATTAGCCAATGATTCTGTACAGCCGCTTGTATCCTATCAGCTAATGATTCTGTACAGCCGCTTGTATCCTATCAGCTAATGATTCTGTACAGCCGCTTGTATCCTATCAGCTAATGATTCTGTACAGCCGCTTGTATCCTATCAGCTAATGATTCTGTACAGCCGCTTGTATCCTATCAGCTAATGATTCTGTACAGCCGCTTGTATCCTATCAGCCAATGATTCTGTACAGCCACTTGTATCCTCTCAGCCAATGATTCTGTACAGCCGCTTGTATCCTATCAGCCAATGGTTCTGTACAGCCGCTTGTATCTTATCACCCAATGATTCTGTACAGCCGCTTGTATCCTCTCAGCCAATGATTCTGTACAGCCGCTTGTATCCTGTTACCGAATGATTCTGTACAGCCGCTTGTATTCCAGCAGCCAATGATTCTGTACAGCCGCTTGTATCCTATCACCCAATGATTCTGTACAGCCGCTTGTATCCTATCACCCAATGATTCTGTACAGCCGCTTGTATCCTATCACCCAATGATTCTGTACAGCCGCTTGTTTCCTGTCAGCCAATGATTCTGTACAGCCGCTTGTATCCTATCAGCCAATGATTCTGTACAGCCGATTGTATCCTATCACCCAATGATTCTGTACAGCCGATTGTATCCTATCACCCAATGATTCTGTACAGCCGCTTATATCCTATCACCCAATGATTCTGTACAGCCGCTTGTATCCTGTCACCCAATGATTCTGTACAGCCGCTTGTATCCCATCAGCCAATGATTCTGTACAGCCGCTTGTTTCCTCTCAGCCAATGATTCTGTACAGCCGCTTGTTTCCTATCAGCTAATGATTCTGTACAGCCGCTTGTTTCCTCTCACCCAATGATTCTGTACAGCCGCTTGTATCCTGTCACCCAATGATTCTGTACAGCCGCTTGTATCCCATCAGCCAATGATTCTGTACAGCCGCTTGTATCCTGTCACCCAATGATTCTGTACAGCCGCTTGTATCCCATCAGCCAATGATTCTGTACAGCCGATTGTATCCCATCACCCAATGATTCTGTACAGCCGCTTATATCCTATCACCCAATGATTCTGTACAGCCGCTTGTATCCTGTCACCCAATGATTCTGTACAGCCGCTTGTATCCCATCAGCCAATGATTCTGTACAGCCGCTTGTATCCTGTCACCCAATGATTCTGTACAGCCGCTTGTATCCCATCAGCCAATGATTCTGTACAGCCGATTGTATCCTATCACCCAATGATTCTGTACAGCCGCTTATATCCTATCACCCAATGATTCTGTACAGCCGCTTGTATCCTGTCACCCAATGATTCTGTACAGCCGCTTGTATCCTATCACCCAATGATTCTGTACAGCCGCTTGTATCCTGTCACCCAATGATTCTGTACAGCCGCTTGTTTCCTGTCAGCCAATGATTCTGTACAGCCGCTTGTATCCTATCAGCCAATGATTCTGTACAGCCGCTTGTATCCTATCAGCCAATGATTCTGTACAGCCGCTTGTATCCTCTCAGCCGATTCCTTACGGGTACAATATTGCACGACCGCGCAATTGTCATTCAAAGTGCAACAGCGCTGAAAGCTGGCCTGGGCACTAAGGGGGTAAAAGTGCCCGGTAGGCAAGTGGTTAATCAGCCACAGAACCTGTATAATTAATATGTGTTCGGTTTTAAAGGGATGAGGTGGCTACCTTACATCTGAGCAGTCATGGGATGTCTACAGGCAGTTCCCGGCACCCGAACATATTGAAGTCTTTGCAGCGGATGGGCGATTACTTGGGCGATAATGATTGTTCAGATTTTTTTCTGTAACATCATTTGCGCCGTGACATTGTGGCGTCTTGTGCAGATTGGAGCGATAAACACCTAAACTAAAACCATTTTAAGATGAAAAGATGCAAAATGCAGAAAAATCGAAAGGAGGGTGGGGGGAGTGAACACTTATGCAAGGCATTGTACCTCTCATAGCAAAAACAAGGTTTGTCCTATTTTATTGAACAAAATAAAAATCCCCCATGGAGGGGGCTGGACGAGTCTGAGGTCGAGCTGCGCATGGAAGGGTAGCAGGAAAGGTGTCCGGTACGTGATGGGAGACTCAGGGGGTTCAGTTTTGTTTCTTTCTTTTTTTTGTTGTCATTGATCTGTTGTTCTTGTCAGGTGGAAACATTGGTGGAAATTGTGGTGAGAAGTTGCACACACGTGTGTCTGATGGAAAGTGATGTCAGTGCGTCACAGTGTTTCCTGCCCCCCCCCCCCAGCACTGCGCGCACGCAGCACATCTTTTCCCCCCCCGGGGGCTTTCCTGGGCCTGTTCACTGCCACCTCCGCTTCTACAGAATGTGACGTTTCACATGTGACTTCCAGCTCAGGTCTCCAGACCCTGAAACCACACCAAGAGGTGATAGCGTCATGGGAGTGAGACACTGAGAAGCGGGGGAGGGGGGCACTGACATCCTGCAGGGGAATAGGACCTGTCCTACCAGAGACACTGACATACTACAGGGGAATAGACAATAGGAGTGAAGAGAGTCATTGACACCCTACAGGAGAAGAGCACCTGCCCCCAGACACTGAGAGTGAGGAGAGTCACCGACACCCTACAAGGGAAAAAGACCTTTCCCCAGACACCAAAAGTGAGAAGAGGCACTGACACCCTACAGGGAAGAAGACCTGACCCTGGCACTGAGAGTGAGGAGAGGCACTGACACCCTACAGGGAAGAGGACCTGTCCCCAGACACCAAACGTGAGGAGAGGCACTGACATCCTACAGGGAAGAAGACCTGACCCTGGCACTGAGAGTGAGGAGAGGCACTGACACCCTACAAGGGAAGAAGACCTGTCTCCAGACACCAAAAGTGAAGAGAGGCACTGACACCCTACAGGGAAGAGGACCTGTCCCAAGACACCAAAAGTGAGGAGAGGCACTGACATCCTACAGGGAAGAGGACCTGACCCTGGCACTGAGAGTGAGAAGAGTCACTGACACCCTACAAGGGAAGAAGACCTGTCTCCAGACACCAAAAGTGAAGAGAGGCACTGACACCCTACAAGGGAAGAGGACCTGTCCCCAGACACCAAAAGTGAGGAGAGGAGCACTGACACCCTACAGGGGAAGAAGACCTGACCCTGGCACTGAGAGTGATGAGAGGCACTGACACCCTACAGGGAAGAGGACCTGTCCCCAGACACCAAAAGTGAGGAGAGGCACTGACACCCTACAGGGAAGAGGACCTGTCCCCAGACAACAAAAGTGAGGAGAGGCACTGACACCCTACAGGGAAGAGGACCTGTCCCCAGACACCGAAAGCAAGGAGAGACAGACACCGTGCAGAGGAAGTGCACCTGTCCCCAGACACAGAGAGTGAGGGACAGGCACTGACACTCTACAGAGAAGAGGATCTGTCCCCAGACACTGAAAGTGAGGAGAAGCACTGACACCCTACAGGGGAAGAGCACCTGTCCTCAGGCACTCAGAGTGAAGAGAGGCATTGACACCCTACTGAAAAGAGGACCTGTCCCTGGACACTGAGAGCAACAAGAAGGCACTGAGTGAGACACTAGGAGAAGGGGACCTTTCCCTGGACACAGAGAAGCAAAGCTAACCTGCAGATTATGCAGCCAGATTCCGACAGCAATGAAGCCGGGTACAGCAGCTCTCCGGCCAGCAATAGACAGGTACCATCCATATGTGTTTTGTGTGCTGTGAGTCCGTCATGGTATGTCCTTTGGCGTCACCTCTTTCTCATGTCACCATTCTGATCCTCAGGACTCCTCAGATGATGTGAAGAAAGTTCAGAGGAGAGAGAAAAATCGGATTGCAGCACAGAAGAGCCGCCAGCGTCAGACCCAGAAGGCAGACACTCTCCATGTGGTGAGTTTTGGCTTTATAGTATAATCCCTAGAGAGACAATCCGCCAATTAGCCCACAGCTATGCAGTGCTGAGGTCGTGTCTGCATGGAGTCTGTATGATCTCCCTCACCTCCTTCTGTGGTCCACCCATAATACAAAGGCGGAGCAGAGAAATCTTTCATCAGAAAAGAGACACACTGCAATTAGAGTGTAAGCTCCTCTGGTGCACAGACTGATGTGACTGGCTCAGTGTTCCCTGTACAGCACTTTGGTATATGTCTGAGCTATATAAATGTATAATCATAATAGTGTGCGACTGGGGGGTGGGGGACATTAGAGTGTAAGCTCCTCTAGTGCACAGACTGATGCAATTGGCTCAGTGTTCTCTGTACAGCTCTATGGTATATGTCAGAGCTATATGAATAGTATAATTAATAATGTGTGATTTGTGGTGGGGGCATAAGAGTGTAAGCTCCTCTGTGCAGAAACTGATATCGCTCACTGATATTGGTGCAGTGATGGTTCTGTGCGATGTGCATTGTGGACAGGAAATGGTGAGGAAGTGATATGAGAGGCAGATAATAGGTCTGTGTGTGCAGCTGCTATGTGATTCCTGATGCAGGTGAAGTGTATGTAAACGTTTTGTATTTGCTCACTTTTGGTATAGTTCAATATCCCATTGAAAGTTTTCTTATATCTCTTTTCTAAGTGTAGAAAATTCCTGTACCTAGACCCCTTCCCCCGCTTCATTCTGACTACAGAACACCTCCCCATGTTAAAGAAATGGGAGAAGGAGGCATTTTATAGTTCTATACTAGGGTTACAACACTGCCTCTCCATAGATAGGGTATTGTGAGTGAGTGTTGTCACCCTAGGACAGGAGAGAGCTTGTCACAAGAAAAGTATTGAATCTGTCACTGCCGACCTTCTCCCCTGTCCTAATTGGGTGTGACCCCAAAACAAGTATGTGGCAAGTTACATAGTTAGTCTACAGCAATCCACTGAGCTGGCCAGAACCAACTCTTGAGGGAGTCTATTACACATTCTCACAGCTCTTACTGTGAAGAAACCTTTCCGTATTTGGAGATTACATTTCTTTTTCCTCTAGACGTTAAGAGTGCCCCCTTGTCCTCTGTGATGACCTCAGGGTGAATAGCTCTACACTGAGTTCACTATATGGACCACTGATGTATTAATACATTGGAGACCATATCCCCCCCTTATGTATTATACATGGAGATCATATCCCCCTTATATATTATACATGGAGATCATATCCCCCTTTTGTATTATACATGGAGATCATATCCCCCCCCTTATGTATTAATAACATGGAGATCATATCCCCCCCTTATGTATTATACATGGATGGAGATCATATCCCCCCCCCTTATGTATTATACATGGAGATCATATCCCCTTATGTATTATACATGGAGATCATACCCCCCCCCCCCTTATGTATTTATACATGGAGATCATATCCCCCCCTTATGTATTTATACATGGAGATCATATCCCCCCCTTATGTATTATACATGGAGATCATATCCCCCCTTATGTATTGTACATGGAGATCATATCCCCCCTTATGTTTTATACATGGAGATCATATCCCCCCCTTATGTATTATACATGGAGATCATATCCCCCCCCTTATGTATTATACATGAAGATCATATCCCCCTTATGTATTATACATGGAGATCCTATCCCCCCCTTATGTATTATACATGGAGATCATATCCCCCCTTATGTATAATACATGGAGATCATATCCCCCCTTATGTATTATACAGGGTGATCATATCCCCCCTTATGTATTATACATGGAGATCATATCCCTCCTTATGTATTATACATGGTGAGCATATCCCCCCTTATGTATTATACATGGAGATCGTATCCCCCTTATGTATTATACATGGAGATCATATCCCCCCTTATATATTATACATGGAGGTCATATCCCCCCTTATGTATTATACATGGAGATCATATCCCCCTTATGATATATACATGGTGATCATATCCCCCTTATGTATTATACATGGAGATCATATCCCCCTTTATGTATTATACATGGAGATCACATCCCTCCTTATGTATTATACATGGAGATCATATCCCCCCTTATGTATTATACATGGCGATCATAATCCTCCCCCCTTATGTATTATACATGGCGATCATATCCCCCCTTATGTATTATACATGGTGATCATATCCCCCCCTTATGTATTATACATGGAGATCATATCCCCCCCTTATGTATTATACATGGTGATCATATCCCCCCCTCTTATGTATTATACGTGGTGATCATATCCCCCTTATGTATTATACATGGAGATCATATCCCCCTTATGTATTATACATGGTGATCATATCCCCCCTTATGTATTATACACGGAGATCATATCCCCCTTATGTATTATACATGGAGATCATATCCCCCCTATGTATTATACATGGAGATCATATCCCCCCTATGTATTATACACGGAGATCATATCCCCCTTATGTATTATACACGGAGATCATATCCCCCTTATGTATTATACATGGAGATCATATCCCCCCTTATGTATTATACATGGAGATCATATCCCCCCTTATGTATTATACATGGAGATCATATCCCCTTATGTATTATACATGGTGATCATATCCCCCCCTTATGTATTATACATGGAGATCATATCCCCCCATATGAAGTCACACTTCCTGATCTGCAGCTTTTTTTTTTTTTTGTTCAAGCAGTGGATTGAATGAAAAAAGAAAAAAAACTTTATTCCTCTAGCCACACATTCGATGTAGATGGGGAATCCTCCTACTGAGGTATTGCATTCTGACAGCAGGAAGACTTCCCCACCATCAGAATACACTGATCTGAGCTGCTGGTTATAGCTGGCGGCGCTGATTAAGGAGGGTAGATTGACGTCGTACAACCTGCCTTCCCCTACATGGATCACAATTTGTCCAGTTCAGCAGGACTTTGATCTATATGTGGCCGGCTTAAAGTAGGACTAAATACACACTGCTTCATTTATATTATCCTTTCCCTTTTTGTATGTAGATGATGGCTTTGGAATTATTAAAAAGAAAACATCCTTTGTACCTTTTGTTTCCTTTTCAATATACAGCTGTCACATGACCCAGCTCTTTCCCAGCCTGTCTGAAGGGAAACAGTGGCAGGAGGAGCTTCTAGTCCTCTGTTGCTGGTCACACGTTAAAAAAAAAAAGCAGCCTTTGGGATACAGGGGAAAAATAAATAATTAACATAATTAAACTCTTTTAAATACAACTATATATTTGAAGTCAGATCTTTATTATTGTTTGGAAATAACATGCTGTGGGTGGATTTCTGCCAGTCACAGGCTGTGTCACTCCCCTCTAGCCTGCGTCTTAGAGTAACAAGAAGGTGAAGCCTCCATCGATCAAGATGTAATATCGCGCCCCTTTGTGTTTAACTGGTTAGTGGGCATAGAGGGAGGGGGGAGGGAGCAGGCTGTCATTTACCACTGTGTATATGCCCACATGTGTGACTCTATAATCTCATGGGCTGCTCAGATGTGATGTGCTCAGGGTAGGAATACGTTGAAGGAGAGAAGAAGAAGCGCCTCTAAGTGCAGCAGACCACTTTAATATATAATAAAAAGTAAGAACACTCACATGGTAGTAGAGTAATAAAAGCATGTAGGCAGGGGCAGACTGACCATTTGGAAACCCGGGCACTGCCCGAGGGCCCAGGGTCAGTAGGGGGCCCCATGAGATGCCCCTGGTACCTTTTTCATAGGCGTTTTTGAGTTTGGGCAAGGACACAGGGGGCCCCATGATCCCCTATTGCCCGGGGGCCACATGAGTTGTCAGTCCGCCCCTGCATGTAGGGTATTGTGGTGTAGAAACACCATTTGGAATGGGTGCCACTGGTGCCTGTATCGTCCACGTCTCAGTGGTAGAGAGCGTGGTTTAGGAGGGAGACAGATGTGGAGCCGCCGGCTGGCATGCACGCACTGCTAAAGATGGAGGCTGGAACGCACGCTGAACCTGCTTGAGAAAGGAGTGCGCTTCCGCCATTAGAAGCAAGCGCGTCCTCCGAAACACGTCGCATTGCATCTTGGTCACTGACAACATCACGCCTACGCCGATGTTGTGGTTCAGCATGCGTTCCAGTCTCCATCTTTAGGAGTACGTGCATGCCGGCCGGCTGGCTCCACATCTGTCTCCCTCCTGAACCATGCTCCCTACCACTAAGATGCGGACGATACAGGGACCAGTGACAGCCGTTCCACATGGTGTTTCTACACCACAATACCCTACATACAGGGGCGGACTGACACCTCATGGGGCCCCAGGGCAATAGGGGATCATGGGGCCCTGTGTCCTTGCCAAAACTCAAAAAAGCCTATAAAAAAGGTACCAGGGGCATCTCATGGGGCCCCCTACTGACCCCGGGCCCTCGGGCAGTGCCCGGGTTTCCAAATGGTCAGTCCGCCCCTGCCTACATGCTTTTATTACTCTACTACCATGTGAGTGTTCCTACTTTTTATTATATATTAACCTCCCTGGCGGTATTCCCGAGTGTAGCTCGGGGTAAAGTTTCAGTACCATGAGCGGTAACCCCGAGCTACACTCAGGAATACCCTGCGGCGCTGCTCCGGGATCCCTCGATCACTTACCTTGTCCTGCGCTCCTGCGATTTCCCTCCTGCAGTGTCCCCGGCAATGTAATCTGGCGTATGCCGACATCTGTCTTCCGGGTTCCGTCCCCTGTGAGCGTCGGGATGTACGGGAGACGGAAACGGCGGGAAATTCAAAAATGACAAAAAGTGACATTCACTAAAATCAGTAAAATCACATAGTATAACATTCCTGTATCAACCCATTTCACATACATTTTGTCCCGAGTGCTTTGTCCTTTGCCCTGCCTGCATTTTGACTGTTCTTTCTGCCTGGAAACTGAGAAACGTCCATGGCGTCCAAAAAGCGTCCCTTTAGGTCAAAAGCGGTTTTAGACCGGCTAGAGAACAGCGATAGTAAATCAGAACCACTTGCAGAATTGAGTGATAATGATTCGTGGAGAAATTCGTCATCAGACACTGAAAACGATTCTGCGACTTTGCTCAGCGATGTGCGAACTTGGCGCTATATTTCAAATTTCAGTGTTTTTGGTTTTATTATATTATTGAATTACATTTATTATTATATTATTATTTTTTATGATTATTTATTAAATTATAATTTATGATTTCGTGTTTCAAGTTTTATCATACCCGGGATGTTTACTAGACTCTTGTTCGGACAGATTTCAGTGAGTTATTCCTAAAAATTACAGGCCTACAATAAAAAAAATACATATTTCCATGCAAAAAAATTTACCGCTTTGAGCACAGAAATACAGACATAATCAGACCGCTAGGGAGGTTAAAGTGGTCAGCTGCATTTAGAGGCGCTTCTTCTTCTTACTACACAGAGTCTGCTACAGTACTGCATGGAGCTTGCCCTAAGTGCCACACGGACCCCCCCTTATCCAAGTTTCTAAATACTACTAGACTTTTCAGACTTTGGTCCAGTATTTGCGCCGATTATTATTACTTCTATAGGAATACATTGAAAACTGAGCATGTGCACTAGCTGCCAACACTGCTCTGCAAAATCCCCAATGCAGTGGGGACATGGACAGAAGGGGGAGATAAAGAACAGCAGGATCAGACAGTTTGTTTTTGCAGAATACAGAAACCGAATCCTATAGTGACTGAGTGAGAGTGAACAGTATGTAATACGGCATTTACTGATAGTTTTTAATGATGTGAGTTTTAATGACACGTTTAGGGCCAGTTCACACTACGAGCGTTTCAGTTGTTTTTTTTCTGCATCCAAAATGCACAGAAAGTAGGTGATAAGGTTGTCAATGTCATAGTTCACATCAGTGCTTAAAGTTCCAGTTGCAGAAAAAAAAAAGTAGAACATGCTGCATTTTTCCTGTGCAGAACTGTACTGGAACGCAGTAAAATGCATCAGAAATGCACTGGAAGGCACTAAAACCGCACTGGAAGGCACCAAAACCGCACTGGAAGGCACATGTCCCTATCTGAATTGAAGAAAAAGAGAGGGGGAAAAAATGAACTGGAATGCATAAAAAAAGCACCGGAACGCGTCAAAAACGTGCATGTGAAAACGCATCCGGAATGCATCTGTACTGCGATTCTATAGTGTGATACGATATGGAGAGCTGAATTGTGGGGACCATGGGACAGTGGGTCCATGACAGTTACCATGAAAGCCGGCCAACTAACATCATCAGAAAGAGCCTAGCAGTGGAAGAGTCAATGTTTGTGCAGTCACTCCAAAAGTAGTAAAACTGTGTGCAAAGTCTTGGATGGAAGCTGCTCTATTCTGATCCCCTCTAGTCAGTAGAGCTGAACCTGCTTGGTGTAAATAAAACCCCACCACCTTCTACTCCGGCGTGCCAAAGGATGGCAGCTTCCATCTCAGGCTTCTCACACCAGTTGCACAAATAGTAGAGCACAGGGGCGGACTGACCATTTGAGCACTCAGGCACGGGTCAGAAGGGGGTCCCATAAAATGCTCCTGGTACCTTTTGTAGGCTTTTTTGGGTGTGTTTTGAGTGTGGGCAAGAACACAGGAGCCCCATAATCCCCAATTGCCCGGGGACCCCATGAGTTGTCAATCCGCCCTTGGTAGCGCAGCATTTATTTTGCCGTCTGATCTGTCATTTGTATCCCTGCAGGAGAGTGAGAACCTGGAGCGCGTGAACTCGGCGCTGCGCAGAGAAATCCGCTTCCTACGTGAAGAGATCAAATGTCTGACATACGCCTTGAGCAGTCACCAGCCCACCTGCACCATGGTAACCCATAAGATAGCCGCCGTCCCACCGCGCGTGGCATCCCCCCGCTTCCAGGAGTGACGTGTGCGGAACCTGGACTGAATCCACCTAGAATGAAGGGGGAGGGCTTTTACATCCAGACACTTGGGGGCAGGGCCATATATACAGATATCGACTCCACCAAGATGTAGATGACCAGCTATTCACCATAATCCAATGTAGACTTCCACTGTACCGATTCCGGTGACGTATACCAAAGAGAACTAGAGAAAGACACATGTTGCTCCATGAAGTTGGACTTTTAGAGATACAACATGAGGCAGTCAAAGAGGTCCTGGGCTCCTAATATATGGTGGATGAATATGGTGGACGAATACGGTGGATGAATACGGTGGATGAATACGGTGGACGAATATGGTGAACATTTCTCTACACCTCACCTTTTACATCACTTAGGATCTGTGTGGCATTTTGGCTTCCCCCCCCGATGATACTTTGATGTGGATAAGGTCCACCATGTACAATCTTTGTATGGATGGTCATTTGTCAAGGTTTATCCCCTTGCCCTTCCTTGAGTGTTCCTCTGATTGCAGCTTGTGTTGGTTCTCTGACAATCTGCCCTGCCCTTCCCCAGTGGATCCTGGGTGTTGTGGGTTCTATGGACCCCCTATGTCCACCCCCAAGACCTCCTTGGTGCACAACTACTACGCTGCCTGCGAAAACAGCAATATCAAATATCCACCCCGTCCTGAAGAAGCAACGTTCAACGCGAAACACGTTGATGGTGAATCCGGAAACAACGCCTGGTCATACATCATCAGATAAAAATTGTGATTTTGTGACTGTTAAAGGGGCAGGCGTCTAACGCCGGTTTTGTTAGGGTGGTATTTATGTATTTACCCTTTTTAGGGGTTTTAACCAATGAATATATATTATTATAATGAACGTAATAACTTTAACTTTTTATATTTTTAGAATGTTTGTCTGCCTCATGTTGTACCTCCAAAGTTTCGGCTTTATGGAGCAACCAGGGGCGGACTGACCATTTGGAAACTCGGGCAATGCCCGAGGGCCCGGGGTCAGTAGGGGGCCCCATGAGATGCCCCTGGTACCTTTTTCATAGGCTTTTTTGAGTTTGGGCAAGGACACAGGGCCCCCATGATCCCCTATTGCACGGGGGCCCCATGAGTTGTCAGTCCGCCCCTGGGAGCAACATTTGTGTTTCTCTCTTTTCCTTTTGGATGGTCAGCTGTTGCCTCCTCCGTGTGCAATGCCATGACTGGCAGTATGGTGGGAAAGCTGAAGGACCCGGGTGCCCCGGCACAACAGCACATCCTATCACCATCGAGAGCCCGACTCCATCAGGGCAGCCAACCCACGTCCTTCCACTTGTAGCAGATGGACAACTGGGACCAGGGACGGACTGAAAATTCATGGGGCCCCCGGGTAATAGGAAATCATGGGGCCCCTGTGTCCTAGCCAACACTCAAACCACACCCAAAAAAGCCTGTGAAAGGTATCAAAGGCATCTCATGCGGCCCCCTACTGACCCCGGGCCCTCGGGCAGTGGCCGAGTGCTCGAATGGTCAGTCCGTCCCTGACCAGGACAATGACCAATCAGGATCCCCTCACCACCTGTACAGAGAAGAATACAAACCCGGCACTCAAGTCCTGTCTCTGGCAATGCCACTTTCCTGGCTGTGTCTGGCTGCCGTATTCTAAGTTGCAAGATTGCAGAAAATAAAATCAGCCTTCCTATATATATTTTGGGTTGATGACTCCAGAACCGGAAACCAGAGGATTAACCACACCACAGGTATTTTTAGGAGAGAGGTCAGCAAAGGCAGCTGGGTTTCCCATAATGGGAAAAAGTATGGGGGCTGCCACTGCTGGCTGCAAGCTTCGGGGTAGTGATCTTCATGCCCTGGCTTCAATATATTGATAGTCATTGGCCTGGAGGGCGTTCAGTCTTTGCTGGCTGGGAGCTTGTTTCAAATTAGTGACTATAGAGCGAAGCAATAGGATGATGATGACATTTCTGGAGCCTGGACCTTGCTCCCCTAACAGGTTCAATTGGAGTAAAAAATTGTCCTTTATAGGTACAATATGGCAGCTTGGCAGCAGGTGGCGCTAGTGTTGTGCAGAGAGATGGTGTCACTCCCTGTGTGCTGATCTGCCTGACCTGCAGAAAGCTTCATCCGTCCCTGTGCACACAGGGCGTCAGAGATCCAGAAGGAGGAAGATAACATATTTCATCAAAGCAACCATTCTGTCTGTTCCTTGATCTCTCTGATTCTTGATTATGTTTCTTTTTATTTTGGAGTCAGGAAGACCACAATCATGTTTGTTTTATCTCATCCTGCTATGTATTTAAATATAGATATTGAAAAACACACTGAATTCTGAGTCGATTACATTCTCAGCCTCAACCTGTATGAGAATTTCCAGCTCACAGGACAACAATCTGTATTCCCCCATTGGTAAGAATAGAGAGGATATGTATATCAGTGTTTTTCAGTTAAGGCGCCCTTTAGAACTGTGCACAATGCCGGGGCAGTCTGAGGGCTCGCTCACACCAAAAGGGGTGTATGACCACGTGCTTTTTGCATGTTCGCGCACGTCGCAGTTTTTAATGTTTGGTTACCTTAGGTTGTAACTGTCCCCCCCCCCCAATTCCCTCTTCTAGCCCAAATCCCCCTCCTAGCACCCCCCAATTCCCCCTTCTAGCACAAATCCCCCCTCCTAGCACCCCCCAATTCCCTCTTCTAGCACAAATCCCCCCTCCTAGCACCCCCCCAATTCCCCCTTCTAGCACAAATCCCCCCCTCCTAGCACCCCCCCCATTTTCCCCCTTTTAGCACAAATCCCCACTCCTAGCACCCCCCCCAATTCCCCCTTCTAGCACAATTTCCCCCTCCTAGCACCCCCCCCAATTCCCTCTTCTAACACAAATCCCCACTCCTAGCCCCCCCCAATTCCCTCTTCTAGCACAAATCCCCCCTCCTAGCACCCCCCCAATTCCCCCTTCTAGCACAAATCCCCCCTCCTAGCACCCCCCTCCCAATCCCCCCTCCTAGCACCCCCCCCCCCAATTCCCTCTTCTAGCACAAATCCCCCCTCCTAGCACCCCCCCTAATTCCCCCCTCTAGCACAAATCCCCCCTCCTAGCACCCCCCCCAGTTCCCCCTTCTAGCACAAATCCCCCCTCCTAGCACCCCCCCCCCAATTCCCCCTTCTAGCACAAATCCCCCCTCCTAGCACCCCCCCCAATTCCCTCTTCTAACACAAATCCCCACTCCTAGCACCCCCCCCCAACTCCCTCTTTTAGTACAAATCCCCCCTCCTAGCACCCCCCATTAAATTCCCTCTCCTTGCACAAGCCCCCTCTTACTCCTTCGAGGACAGCCCCCCCCTCGAATCCTCCCTCCTAGTACAAACCCCCAAGCTCCCACAATCCCACTCCTGGCACAATCCCTGCTTCAACCCCCCACACCCCCTTTCCTAGCACAACCCCCTCAAATCCCCCTTCTCAACACAAATCCCCCACCAATTCACTCCACCAAGACCACCCCCCCCCCAAATTCCCACTTCTAGCAGAACCCCCTTAAACTCCTCCTAGCACACCCCACCCCCAGTACAAACCCCTCCCTGCTCCCAAACCCCCACTCTTAGTACAAACCCTGCTCAGACCCCCCCCCCATTCCCTCTCCTAGCAAAACCCCCTCAAATCCCCCCTCCTAACACAAATCCCCCTAATTCCTCCTCCTTGCACAAATCCCCCCTCCTAGCACAAATCCCCCACCAAATCACTCCTCCAAGCACCCCCCCCCAATTCCTCCTCCTAGCACAACCCTCCCATCCCCCCTGTTCCCAAATCCCCACTTCTAGCACAAACCAAGCTCCAATCCCCCCTTCCAGCACTATACCCTCAAATCCCCCCACTTAGCACCCCCCCCCCAAATCCTCCTTGCTAGCACAAATGTGGGCTGTGCTCAAATCCCCCTTTTAGCCCCCCCTTGTTAGCCCCCTTAGAGCAACTCTCTGCGAGCTGTACTTGCCTCCGTTGGTGATGCAGCCAGTGTAGCAGTTTGTTGTAAGTACAGCGGGGACTGGGGAGTGCAGAGGTAAGTACAGCAGGGACAGGGGGGTGCAATGGTAAGTTCAGCGGGGACAGGGGGGTGCAATGGTAAGTTCAGCGGGGACTAGGGGGTGCAGAGGAAAGTACAGCATGGACTGGAGGGTGCAGAGGTAAGTACAGCGGGGACTGGAGAGTGCAGAGGAAAGTACAGTGGGGACTGGAGGTGCAGAGGAAAGTACAGCAGGGACTGGGGGGGACTGGGGGGGTGCAGAGGAAAGTACATCGGGGACTGCGGGGTGCAGAGGAAAGTACAGTGAGGACTGGGGGGGTGCAGAGGTAAGTACAGCAGGGACTGGGGGGTGCAGAGGTAAGTACAGCAGGGACTGGAGGGTGCAGAGGTAAGTACAGCAGGGACTGGAGAGTGCAGAGGAAAGTACAGTGGGGACTGGAGGTGCATAGGAAAGTACAGCAGGGACTGGGGGGGACTGGGGGGTGCAGAGGAAAGTACATCGGGGACTGCGGGGTGCAGAGGAAAGTACAGTGAGGACTGGGGGGGTGCAGAGGTAAGTACAGCAGGGACTGGGGGGTGCAGAGGTAAGTACAGCAGGGACTGGAGGGTGCAGAGGTAAGTACAGCAGGGACTGGAGAGTGCAGAGGAAAGTACAGTGGGGACTGGAGGTGCAGAGGAAAGTACAGCAGGGACTGGGGGGTGCAGAGGAAAGTACATCGGGGACTGCGGGGTGCAGAGGAAAGTACAGTGAGGACTGGGGGGGTGCAGAGGTAAGTACAGCAGGGACTGGGGGGTGCAGAGGTAAGTACAGCAGGGACTAGGGGGTGAAGGGGAAAGCACAGCAGGGACTGGGGGGGTGCAGAGAAAAGTACATCAGGGACTGGGGGGTGCAGAGGAAAGTACAGTGAGGACTGGGGGGTGCAGACGTAAGTACAAAAGGGACTGGGGGGTGCAGAGGTAAGTACAGCGGGGACTGGGGGGTTAAAGGGGAAA